ACCAACAAAATTGATAACTGCGAGGGTTATGGTTCGTAGTGAGGTTTCTATATCGCGTACTGTTTTGATATTCGCAAAATTTGATTTCGTGTGATGATATTTATATTGATTTCAATTCTGTGTTATCCTCATACTGGCAGGTTCAAGTAGTTGAATGATTGAATACCTTTGTCGCAACAACCTTGAGATATTCCCATCTGTTGGATTTCGTCATGCGATGCGAAAAAATTAACAAAGGGCGCTTGGACTTGTTTTTGTTGTTGACTGCTGTTTTTCGCCACAGATTGCGTTTTGAAAGTCTCACAAGGTTTGTGAGTTGAGGTCAAAACGCTTAACTTTGCAAGGGACCAGAACTCGTATGTGTGCTTTCGCTGGGTACGTGCCCCTTTTTTCAACACACTATCGAGTCCTCGCCCAACCTCACCTGATGGCATTTCGGCCAGTAGCTTATCAGCACTCACACGTACAATGTGACGCGTCGGTCAGCCGATATTTACATACGTTGAACCATGGACCTGTCAACTCTTTGTTATTACCTGTTTTGTCTTGTTTTTTCGCCGCTTTTTTGTTTATCTCTTTGGTATTACCTGTTTCAACTTGTTTTTAGCCGTTTTTTTTGTTAACTATTGTTTATCGCCGCAGTGCGAAAGCCTAATAAGGATTGCCTTATGGGCAGTCAAGCTGGGACGAGACTGGGGAACGTACTTGTGCTTCATGGACACCATGCTCTTTGTTCCTTACACTACCGATACTTTGCTTGCCCTCGCGTTCTCACTGGCTAGAGTCGGACGAGGCTTCGACCTGTTGTACTTTCAGGTCGAAACAGGTGGTGAAACGGCCACTGTTTCATTGTTCGGCGTGGTTCGGCTGACCAACTCATCACTCAGTACGTGTAAGTGGGGATAATCCATGACAGAGGGCAATAGAATATCGATAATGTAAGTTATACAAGCAAAAACACGAACCAAACCGGTAATGGGAGTTCAAGTCCCATTTGAGGCCAAGAGTTTGCCCTTGACTCATCCTCGAAGGGATGGGTTGATTGAGGGTCATACTGCAGGCACATTGTACGCATTCTGACTAAGAACGCTTTGTGGTTTGCCCTCTAACTCAGTATTACAGCGCACCATGAACTTTGATGTAGTCCATTTAGCTGTTCCACAATGTGTCCAAAGTCACCTAGCTTGAGGGGGTGGGGTAGTTTCAAGTGGCGCACTATCTCACACCATGGCCACGGGTTTGATATCCGCCCAGGTCAACCAAGCCTTCCATCCCTTCAGCGTCGCTTAATTGGTACCAGAGTCGTCTGGGAGCATGAAAACACTGACTTATATATCGGCTGGCCACCGCGATTCATTGTACAGGCCACATTATGCTCATTCGATACGCCACTGGTATTTCGAACGAAAATCGAATGCGGGGTGCGTATTGCTCAGACGGATTGATTGACGCCCGAGAACTTTAGACTTCTTCACCCTTTGTATTTAACGAGGTAATATCAGATCAATTTGCGTATGTTTTTTACAGCTACTGTTTCGATTTCTTGAGAACTCTCGAAAAATATTTCATAATGAGAACCAGTTGGAGTCATCCAAGCGAGAAACTGCCTGAGATATGAGTCAGGCTCTGGCCGAGAGAACGTTTTCTGAGCCCATTTTACACCACTGGCTCAGTTGATATTGGATCGTGTCTTTCACGTGAGGATTACCAGATTCAAGAGATTGTAATTCACAACAATCACACCAATGGTGCAAGGTGACCTCAGAAAACGTCAGAAAAGAATTGAAAGCATTTTATATGTCGCGAGCATTATCGTATTTGCTGGAATTATTATTAGTAGGTTTAACAGTCACGATCACTGCTGCATTGCTAAGGAATCGAACATCAGGTGGGCTGGGCACATCATGGGAATTTGTGATGATCGTCGAACCAGGACGACCGTTGGCTTGATGATCAGGCTTTTTATGGAAGTTTTGTGCGATAGGATTGATTCACATCATTCGTCTGGCGGCTGTGATTGATTGACTGCTTTGGCCTCAAGAAATGCGAATGAAGACGTTCCAGTGTTCGTTCGAAGGGACTGGTGACGGATATGGAATTAAGGAAGATTTGATAATGTGTGGCCTGGTCTTGGGCCATTGGATCAGTCCACAATATCCGCTGTGTATAATCTTTCCGCTTTTCCTGGCTTCTCAGCAAATTCCAAATGAGTAGTCAAGGCAGTCACCAATAATGGGTGATTGCTCGATGAATTAGCAGGCTTTCCTGAATTACCTGGCTTATTTGGATGAATGATGCCAATTTCATTTCAAATATGATTTTTTCCTGTGAATTACTATGCTGCTGGTCATGTTTACGTCTATCTCCCATTGTACGCTTGGCTTTTTTAGAATTTTGGCTACGTGCAATAGGATTTTAGTTCAACAAAAATGAACGTTTCAGACATTTTAATCGCATTCAACAATTTTTTCCAACCTACGTTGCATTGTAAATATTGCTAGTACTGCTGCCATTAACTGTGCAAATTCTTTGCTTCAGTGAGACTACGGAGATCGTGCTGTTTGTTATATTGAACCTACATTATGTCATCAGTATGAGCAACTTATATATGGCTTGTTCTAAATGTTTAACTTATTTGGAGCCACTCCAACACTCCATTTTCAAAGAAAAATAGAGCAGATTGTCATGACAGTGAAAATTACTTTGTTTGGGATTTCATTTGGGATAGGATTCCACCACTATAGCTTATTGGTGAGCNCGTTTCAGACATTTTAATCGCATTCAACAATTTTTTCCAACCTACGTTGCATTGTAAATATTGCTAGTACTGCTGCCATTAACTGTGCAAATTCTTTGCTTCGGTGAGACTAGATCGCGCTGTTTTTTATATTGAACCTACATTAGGTCGTCAATATGAGCAACCCATATATGGCTTGTTCTAAATGTTTAACTTATTTGGAGCCACTCCAACACTCCATTTCCAAAGAAAAATAGAGCAGATTGTCATGACATTGAAAATTACTTTGTTTGGGATTTCATTTGGGATAGGATTCCACCACTATAGCTTATTGGTGAGCCACCCAAATCGTTCACCTGTGACCTTACAGTTTCAACTAGCCAAAGCCCTGCTTTGCCAAGGAAGGGTTGTGGTGCCGTTGGGTCGGCCGAAGGCGACCTCTCCAAACGATCAAACTTCATTGAAATATCCAAAATGAGTTCTTAAGAAGACTCCTGTTCCTTACCCGCCATCCGTGGGTGATGATGGCGAGAATATCACATTGACCGACAGTTGACCAGTGATTTTTTTCATCATTGTGGTTAAGAATAGCTATAGTAAGCGTGAAAAAGCTGAGGTGCAGGGTTGTTGCTGAAAGTGATTGGTCCAGCTTGTCTCCTCCTATGAAGATGGTGAAGTAAGCGATCCGCAGTGGGTAGTTCGACCATTTAAAGCGAAATTGAGTTAGTGTTGACCGTCAAAGGCTAGGCTACAGCGTGGGCGAGAGCAAAAAAATGACTTTATTTCCTCGCGCATTCAGTTCTGATCTAGGTTAAAGTTTACTAGTACGTACAAAGTATCTTTCACAAGAGTTGTACTGAGTGCACTATTCTTATATCTGCGACCTTTCCCTTGAGAAGTTCCTTTTTAAATTCAAAATCAATCAATAAAATCAATTTTATGTTCTAGGTAGTCATATGTTACGGTATGTGTTACTGCCTGTTGCCTGTACATATTACTGTATGAAGGAAACATTCGTATTCAGTCCTGTCGCTCGATTCCCTGCTGCTTTTAGCCGGCCACACCTAGAAATAGTCGATTGAAAATGCGCATTATCTTTTTTAGTTTTATCAAAACTATCTCCGCCCCATTATGATAAATTGGCATTTTTGCAGGCTGCAGATTCCCTACCATTCTCTTGTTATTGGTTTTGAAATCAGCTCTGTGACCCTCTAAAAAACTGATTAATTTCCACGACTGTGTAGTTGTCGCGAAGGTGATTATTTCGTGCAAGTTTGTTAAGGCAGCGGTGATTTCAGCTGTTGGTTGATTGGTCCGAGGAAAGTAGCTTCGGTTCAGGCTGGTAGAATGTAAAGTCGCCGCTTACTTCTGTAAAGAGTTGCAAAATTACAGAACCATCATTACTCCTGATGGGAGCTGATAAGAAAGGGATTTTTCTGGATTTTTTTTTTCATCTGACACATTGATGCTGGAAAATCAAGCAAAAACTGCTGTCCTCTGCTGGCTTGTACTGATGAATTAGATGAAATTGTGTGTTCTTTCTTGATAACGCATCGTTTAGTTCTATACCAGTTGGGCAATGCATACTTATGCATGCATTCTATGTCCAGGACCGCCAATAGGTTTAAAACTTCTGCAGGTACTTTAACAGGTGATATCGAATTTCCGTACAGACAGACGGACAGACAGACGCGAGCGCTTTATATATAGTAAGGATCATGCTCATCACTTCTCGACATTCACGAATTGAGCTACTTTCAATGCAATTTCTGGTGCCTTACGTTGCATTTGATAGATAGTTCAACAGTTCCGGAACGCTATTATCATTCGGAACTTTGCTCTGCGATACGGCTACAGTCTGTGGTTGTGTGGTTTAATGATTGCAAGAAAATGATTGGATTCTGATAACTGTCTCAAAAAAAACATTCTAACTAGATTTTCTTTTGTTTTTTGCTCTGCTTGTAATATTGTCACGTCCTTAGTCCAACTGGATACTGTCTTATTGCATGCTCATTGATGTATAGCAGTTAGATCTATTTCTCTAGTCACTAAGCTCTTAACCGGTTGGTTTTTCTCGTCCGTCTGCTTTCACAGACACTGACTAATCAGGGCTTAGTCAGCGTTCTGTTCTGACGCATAATTACATTGCGAAAGCCGAATTATTTCTGACACAAGGCCAAAGTTTTTATTTCAGATCGAATCCATTTCAATCGTCACGTGGGGGCAGACGTTTGGCTGATTTCCATCGAAACATTCCATCAACATGGCTGCAATACGGAAACGTGCTGCTACAGATCCTCATGAAAGTGGTGACGCACTGCCTATGAAGCGATCAATAGCTGAAGTAAGTTCTGATTTTCTTTCCGTTTATAGTTATTCTCAATTTCATTCACTAAAAACCCTATATTGATGTTGCGTCAGAGTATAAATTAAGGATCAGATTCCGATGTCATTAGCGTTGAAGACGCCAGCACCATACAGCGATGAGGAACCAGCTATCGCCGAGAGAAATCGTGTGGATTATTCGAAAAAAATCACTATAGCAATGGCAAAGGCTAATACAGGCAATATATTTTTTATTACACGTGAATTTTGGGAACTTTGAACGCTCTTAAAATATCTTATGCTGAGATTCACGGTGGAGAGCATCTTTGTTGTAATGTTCCCCTTTCTTTGCTTTTCAAATTTATTTATTTATTTATTTGATAGATTTACATGAGTAATTGCTGATCTTCTATTCGTTGTTCCTTCACTCAGGGTTGCCTATCTGTCTTCGTTTCACATAAATTTTACGCCGATATTTCATGCCCTTTCCTCTATAGCTTCTCGACTCCACTTTTTATCCTTTGAAATGGGCCTGGCTTAGACGAGGATGGGTTCGGACAAGACACTATGCTCCAATGATCTTCTCTGGCTGAGCTCGCTACATTCACTGAACATCCCATCTACGGAACGTCTTGTGAGGCTTCTCCCCACTTTACTTCAGGTTCCTCCCACTTTACTTCCCAAGGTACTCATTCGATTCCATCGTATCTATTACATCCTTGGAGAACTGTCTTTTATTTCTTTTAACGTTTTAACTAAATTTATAGCTTCTATTCATCCGAAGGCTATCTGCTTTCTCTTTGATTTGCGACCTACCCTTCTGGTTTTAATTCCCAAAACGTCGCCTAGGAACAGTATACACGATAAAAATGATAGTTTAATCAGCCACGGGAATTCAAGGAAAGTTGAAAGTTGTGTGTGGATACCGTGTTGATGAAAGAACAGTGAAACTATCATAGATGAGCTAGTTTCCTTTTCCTGACCACCAGGATACCCGAATTCCCATATGCCTCCCCATAGAGTAGCTTCTCTTGAGGAAACATCCGAAAAAAAAA